CGTTCCGCAATACGTGAACCGTGAACTTCGATGTTCAAGCTGGTTTTACAAAAGGCAGAGGAACCAGAGATCAAATTGCCAACATCCTCTATATCATCAAAAAAGCAAGAGAGTTCCAGAAAAACATCTATTTCTGCTTTATTGACTATGCCAAAGCCTTTGACTGTGTGGATCACAATAAACTGTGAAAAATTTTTCAAGAGATGGGAATACCAGACCATCTGACCTGTCTTTTGAGAAACCTGTATGCAGGTCAGGAAGCAACAGTTAGAACTGGACATGGAACAACAGACTGGTTCCAAATAGGAAAAGGAGTATGTCAAGGCTGTAGAATGTCACCCTGCTTATTTAAGTTATGTGCAGAGTACATCATGAGAAATGCTGGGCTAGAAGAAGCACAAGCTGGAATCAAGATTTCCGGGCGAAATATCAATAACCCCATATATGCAGATGACACCACGCTTATGGCAGAAAGTGAAGAAGAACTAAAAAGCCTCTTGATGAAAGTGAGGGAGGAGAGTGAAAAAGTTGGCTTAAAGCTCAGCATTCAGAAAGCTAAGATCATGGCATCTGGTCCCGTCACTTCATGGGAAATAGGTGGGGAAACAGTAGACACAGTGTCAGACTTTATTTTTTGGGGCTCCAGTCTAAAGAAATTTTAGGCTTCTTTTCTTCTGTCTAAAGTAAGATTTAGACCTAATGAAGATGTTAGTCAGTTGTGTCAGACTCTTTGTGATCCCATGGACTATGGCCCGCCAGACTCCTCTATCCATGGAATTCTCCAGGCAAGAATACTGCAGTGGGTAGCCATTCCCTTCTCCAGGGGATCTTCCCAACCCAGGGATTGAACCCAGGTAGATTCTTTACTGTAGATTCTTTACTGCAGAAAGATTCTTTACTCTCTGAGCCACCAGAGAATCTCTTATACCTAATAAAAATAATAAAATATCAAGAATATGGTCAAGGATTATAACATTATCCTCACAATGCTTTCTGTTTTTGTGAATATATTTCTCTTTGAAATGAGAGTTTTTTTATATTTGTATTGAGTATTTTTTGATAATATTTTGAAAATATATTTTGATAATATATTTGATTCTTGAAGTGAGTATTTTTGATGTATGATATATTTTAAGAGCATAAAATATTAATCCTACTGCTTTTAAATAAACTAAGAGAATATATTTAGGACCATATAGTAAAAAACCATCTCCTGTGGAAAAGGAAGAATAAATGAGTACAAATAGCTTTCTATTTAAACAGAAACTGAAACTTTGAAAGAAAGAATTTGTAATATGTTGGACTGTAGGACAGGAAAGTTTTATCTTTATATTATGATCCACAGCACATGTTTTTCTTTTCTGGGGTTTTAACTTTCTTCTGGGTCAATAATTCTCCACATGGGATTTAAAGTAGATAAATTAGGTATAATAGATGAATTTCTTAGAGTATTTTAAAAGTCTGATATAAATTTTGCTTCTTTCTCTGCCTGGGGAGTGAAACACCTTAAAGAGGGGCCCCAAAAGATCCTTCCCTTTTGCTATGTTCTGTGGGGCATCTCTGTTTGTAGCAATGATTAACTAGTGAATTCAGTATGTTACCGCTGTATTTCTGAATTGTGTTTATGTGGCAAAAATTATTTTTTAAAAGTTTTAAGTAAGATACAGTTGACAAATAACATAATATTAGTTTCAGGTGTACAACATAATGATTCAATATTTGTATGTATTGCAAAAGTATCATGACAATAAATATTAACATGTATCACCATAAACAGAATTTTTTTTCTTGTGATATGTGGTATAAGTTCTTATATTTATGCTTTGAGAATAAAAGAGCAGTTGGGAAGTAATAGCAATAGAATTGAATGTTGCATATAAACGCATCTTTACACTCCAGATTAATATGTTCTTACTGCAAATTTATATATTATATATTGGTTCCAGTTTAAATTGAAAACTTTTAATGTCACTAATGATGCTAGTTTGTTGTTGTTTTTCAGTTGCTCAGTCGTGTCCAACTCTTTGCAACCCCGTGGATTGTAGCACGCTAGGCTTCCCTGTCCTTCACCATCTCCTGGAGTTTGCTAAAACTTGTGTCTGTTGATTCAGAAATGCCATCCAACCATCTGATCTTCTCTCATCCATCCTCCTCCTTCCTTGAGTCTTTCCCAGCATCAGGATCTTTTCCAATGAGTTGACTCTACCCATCAGGTGGCCTAACTATTGGAGTTTCAGCATCAGCAATTCCAATTAACATTCAGGGTTGATTTCCTTTGGATTGACTGGTTTGATCTCCTGGCTGTTCAAGGCACTCTTAAGAGTCTTCTCCAACACCACAGTTCAAAGGTATTAATTCTTCAGCACTCTCCCTTTTTTATTGTCCAGCTCTCACATCCGTACATGACTGCTGGAAAAACAATAGCTTTGACTATACGAACCTTTGTAGGCAAACTAATGTCTTTCCCTTTTAGTACACTATCTAGGTTTGTCCTAGCTTTTCTTCCAAGGAGCAAGCGTCTTTTAATTTCATGGCTGCAGTCACCATCCACAGTGATTTTGGAGCCCCAGAAAATAAAGTCCACCACTGTTTCCATTGTTTTTGCCTTGAAGTGATGAGACCAGATGCCATGATCTTTGTGTTTTGAATGTTGAGTTTTAAGCCAGTTTTTTCAGTCTCCTCTTTCATCTTCATCAAGAGTCTCTTTAGTTCCTCTTTGCTTTCTGCCATAATGGTGGTGTCATCTGCATATCTGACGTTATTGATGTTTCTACTGGCAATCTTGATTCCAGCTTGTGCTTCATCCAACCCGGCATTTCACATGATTACACTGTGTGTAAGTTAAGTAAGCAGGGTGACAGTAAATAGCCTTGACATACTCCTTTCCCAGTTTGGAACCAGTCCATTGTTCATGTCCAGTTCTGTTGCTTCTTGAACTGCATACAGGTTTCTCAGGCAGATCAGGTAGTCTCGTATTCCCATCTCTTTAAGAATTTTCCACAGTTTTTTGTGATCTACATAGTCAAAGGCTTTAGCATAATCAATGAAACAGAAGTAGATGTTTTTCTGGAATTCTCTAGCTTTTTCTGTGATCCAGTGGATGTTGGCAATTTGATCTCTGATTCCTCTGCCTTTTGTAAACCCAGCTTGAATGTCTAGAAGTTCTCGGTTCACGTACTTTGAAACCTAATGTGGGGGATTATGAGCATTACTTTGTTAGTGTGTTTAATAAGTGCAATTATGCAACAGTTTGAATAGTCTTTGGTGTTGCCCTTCTTTGGGATTGGTATGAAAACTGACCTTTTCCAGTCCTGTGGCCACTGCTGAGTTTTCCAAATTTGCTGGCATATTGAGTGCAGCACTTCAACAGCATCATCTTTTAGATTTGAAATAGCTCAGCTGGAATTTCATCACCTTCACTAGCTTTGTTTGTAATGATGCTTCCTAAGGCCCTCTTGACTTCACACTCCAGGATGTCTGGCTCTAGGTGAGTGATCATACCATTGTGATTTTCTGGGTCATTAATATCTTTTTTGTATAGTTCTTGTGTGTATTCTTGCCCCCTCTTCTTGATATCTTCTGCTTCTGTTAGGTCCATACTGTCTCTGTCCTTTATTATTCTCATCTTTGCATGGACTGTTCCCTTGGTTTCTCTAATTTTCTTGAAGAGATCTCTGGTCTTTCCCTTCTATTATATTCCTTTATTTCTTTGCATTATTCACTTAAAAACACTTTCTTATCTCTCCTTACTGTTCTCTGGAACTCTACATTCAGATGGGTATACGTTTCCCTTTCTCCTTTGCCTTTTGCTTCTCTTCTTTTCTCAGTTATTTTTAAGGCCTCCTTAGACAACCATTTTGCCTTTTTTGCATTTCTTTTCTTGGGGATGCTTTTGATCACTGCCTCCTGCTGGTTGGTGAGCATATATTAGAAACACCTAAAAATTTTCAGTATTTCCTCCAAAGTAATCTTTTTAGCCATTCTGTTCAAACACTTTATTTTAGTATATGTTAGACAGCTTATTTTAAAATCTGATAGATTAATATGGGACACATTTCAGTTGTGTCCGACTCTTTGCAACTCCATGGACTGTAGCCTTCCAGGCTCCTCTGTCCATGCGATTCTGCAGTCAAGAACACTGGAGTGGGTTGCCATGCCCTTCTCCAGGAGATCTTCCTGGCCCAAGGATTGAACCCGTAGCTCTGTGTCTCCTGCATTGCAGGCAGATTCTTTACCCACTGAGCCACCTTGGATGTGTGAACAAAATGAGATATTTTAACTTGCCAGCATTACAGTTAAATGTTGTAATTCTCCTGTGCTGGAGTGGGGTAGTGAGAAGTCATAATCAAGGAGACAGAACAGCTCCAGATAACATCGGAAATATATCAGTTATGGAAATGGCACATAAATAGCAGCATTTGTTCAAAACCAAATTTCCCTTTCATGAAAGTGGGCTACATTGATGAACTGCAAATAACATTGCTAGATTGTTCTTTTGGCATATAATAATTTTAGAAATCACTCCCTGTATATTCCCATAGTCTCTCTTTTTTAAAAAATACTCTTTAGTAGAATATTTCATTAGGTCTAGGAAATTACCTACTTGGCAACTCTTATTAGTTTGAAAGTTTGTGCTATCGTATGTTTTGGAGAATAATAAACATATGTGTCCTTTCCACATATTCTTTCCTTCTCACTACTCTCTATTAATAGAATTTGTGTACATTATTTTAAAAAGAGTCTGATCAGTATTAAAAATGAAGATATACTTTATCTATTGAAAAAAGAATTATGAAGACATATATTAAAAAGTATTCTGTGAAACGGGTAACCTACCTTCCAAAAGGACCTCCTCTAAAATCCTCATCTCTGATGCTTCAGTACCAGCAAGAGAAAAGTAATGCTTAATATGGCTTGTATAGTGTGGGTATTTTTTATGGACAAGTGGATATGATTTTAGTCTCTACTTCTGATCAACTTGCTTTTGCCTTCTTTCCTAGGAAGTGTGTAGAGAGCTCTGGTGTCTCAGCAAAAGCAACCGCTGTGTCACCAACAGTATTCCCGCAGCCGAGGGAACACTCTGTCAAACTGGGAATATTGAAAAGGGGGTAAGCTCAAAAGATTCATTAGCTTTTAACATGTAGACTAAATTGAAAGATTTCTAGTTTTTATATTCAGCCACTAGAAAATCATGCATACTAATTAAAATGTGCTTGAGAAGATAGCAATTTTCTAGCCTAATGAATTATCTTGATATCTGCAAATATGCATTGTTTAGGAAAGTATAGTGAGTATTTTGTGAGTCAGTTTCATCTTTCTATATGTATATGTTTGAGCTATATTCTCACAAAAAAAGCCCAACAGCAGTCTTATTTAATAGAGTCTGTTTATCCATATGGCTGTTTTTTGCAACAATTTCCAAGAATTTTATGTGATCCTAAAATAGATTTTATAACTGTAGTCTAATGAATCATTTTTAAATTATAATATGAGAGAAATATCTAATAGTAGAAGAATAATTTATTGAGCATAGAAATGATTGCTAAATAATTTTTAGTATCATCAGCCTAGTTTTCAAAACCTGTAATTATTAGGAATTGTTTAAACAGATAAGAATATTTTAGGCTATTGAAATTCTTTAGGAATTGCTATATATGTGATTCTAAAATTTGTTGTTATGGACTGAGTTTACAACAGTAACTGCACTATCATCTATTCTCAGTTCTGACTTCTTCCATGTTAGCTGGTCTAGTTTCAACAAAGATTATAGTGAATTTCGGCTTGACATCTGATGTTTAAATAAAAAGAATGAAAGCTTTTGGGCAGCTGTCACAGTTTATTAATCCTTGCTGATGGCTTCATTCAGGACCCATGACTTAGTGCCATGTTGATGGTTTTTCCATGCTGAGTTTGAAAATGTTGGTAAATTATGCTAAATGTATAAATTGATAGAGTCATTTTTAAAAGATTAAGAATCTTTTTTTGAAACTGTTGAAAGTAGCCAATAAAAATACAGAGACCTTCACACACTATCAAAAATTCCTTCTGTTTTTTCATAGATGTAATAGAAATATTAGGAACCATGTTCTTGAAACAATAGTCTAGGTTTTTTCTGGAACCAACAATTCTTGTCAATGACAAGTAGCAATTTACATCAATCTCTACTTAGAAGAAATACACAACTGTAAAGGGAAAGTCACAGTGAGAATCTGTTTCTTTACTTGCCATTGATTGATGATTATTCTTGTGATTTACACCAGCAGCTCACTGTTTCTATTTGCCTGTAATAATACTGTCACTAGACCTGATATCTCTTTTTATTTTACTTTAATTTTTAACCCAAAGCATGAAGAACTCATTCTTTTAAACACTTAAGAGCTCTCCTGAAAGCATCTGTAAATTATATGATCACTCTAATTAGGTAAACCACAAGTAGTGGCTATCTGAGAACCCAACTCAGTCATCTTTATGGCAAACACAGTTAATATCTCATAATTTGTGCTTAACAGCAGGGCTCTGAAATATCATATTTTAAAGCTTATGTGCATATAATTGATAGAGATGTCATTTACATATGCATTAGAGTTTTAAAGGCTACTTAGAAAATGTTCTAAATAATATCAAAGCTAACAATATTGAATTTAAACTTAGATTAGCAAATAGAAGGGAAATATAATTATTTCTAAGCATAAGTAGGAATAAACAGACAAGAGAAAGTAAATCAAATGGGGCAAAAATGTATTTGATTTCTAAAGATTCAATTTCTTAATCTAGGCTAATGGTTGTCAACTTTTTAATCATTAAATACTTTGTTTAAATGTATTCTACATAATTCTGTTATATACATTTGAAAACAATGGAAATGCTTAGGTTAAAAGAACCCCTTGCCTGCCTCCTTACCCTCTCCTTATAATCGTCTCAGCTTCCAGTGGACTTTGGCACAACTTGCACTCCGTTAAAGTCTATTTAAGAACTTTTAAGTGTAGCAAAGTTTGCCTACCAAGAGGTCATTAATATTCACAACATTAGAGTACAGTTTCATAAAGTCAATACTTTGGATTTCATCATCTCAAATTAATATGTAAAACAAATCTTAGCTGTTCTTCCAAAGTCATGGAAGGTCTATAGATAGAATAGCCTTAGGAGATTTTTAAATGAATGAATGAAAAAAACAAATAAACATAAAAACTCTTAGAAAAAGAAAGGACAGAATGCTAGAAGACTCTCAAAATATCCCTATCGTTAATTTTGAAAGCTAGATCAACTTACATTTTTTTCCCAACTTACATTTTTAAGGGAGAAAAGTACAAAGAACTATTCATGTGAGCTGAATTAATTTTATTTTTCACTTACTGCATTTGCTTTGTTATCTGTTTATGAATTTTTATTGTTGTTGATCTCAAGCTGCTTTTTTCCTTAGAGAAGCATGGTACTATTAACAAATGCAGATTTTCCTCTTAAAGCTATACCTATTTGGGTATTAGGGCTTCCCAGGTGTCACTAGAGGTAAAGAACCCACCTGCCAGTGCAGGAGACATAAGAGACAAAGGTTCAATCCCTGGGTTGGAAAGATCCCTTGGAGGAGGGCATAGCAACCCACTCTAGCATTCTTGCCTGGAGAATGGCTCCTAAGCACAGAGGAGCCTGGCAGGCTGCAATCCATAGGGTTGCAGAGTTGGACAGGATTGAAGCAACTGGGCATGCACACAAAGTTGGATATTAAATAAGAGCCCAAAATTTAATTCAAACAAAAATAGCCATGCAAACACTTAGTAACAAAATTAAAGCAAAGTTTTCAATTGGTCTGGTCAACTTTGTGTAACCAGTCTGTATTCGTGCCATCTATACATAGTTGACATTATCAGTAATAATGGTTATAAATGATAATGAATAGTTTTATACTTACACTGTGCCAAGCATATATTTGTTCTGTTTACTATTGACAAAAATCTTCTACAGTGGGTACTGTTTTAATTCCATTTTACAGCTGAAGAAAGTAAAACTTGAAAGCCTAAGATTACATAGCAATTGAATAGTAAAGCTGAGATTCTAGCCCAGGTCTTTCTGATTCCAAAGTTGAAAACTGTCCCTCTCTACTGCCTCTGATTATATTTTACTTTCAAATGGGAAATTATTTGGAATAAAAGGCAAATTTTCACTGTCAGAGGAATGCTGAGTCACTGAGCCTGAAATGGTTTAACAATATGCTTTACCCCTTATTAATAAGTGGATTTTTCATTTATTTACTTGTAACAGTTTGTTATCTCTGGAATCACAATAAAAAGGCCCCTGGACAGAACATTGAGCTAAATATATATGGTAGTTGGCAAAATAATGAATTGGCAAAATAATGAATCTTACTTTAAAGTGAGAGAAAATCTATTTTTACATATTTCATAGAGATAGAGTGAGAATGGAATGAGATACTATCTTGGTGAGCTTTTTGTTGGCTTCCTCAGAGGAATGGTGCTAATATATGTTACTAGAACATCTTCATTACTTTTCATTATTATGTGCCAACCTTAGATGGTGGTGGGCAGAAAATTATTTGCCAGACTGTCTTAACTGGTAGTAATGAGCATCACAGACTGTAAGCATGAGTTTGTGTGTCTCAGAAGCATGAATAGTATATCCACAACCTCTGATCTTAATTCTGAATTTCAAAACTACTCTCAGCAGAAGGAACAAGAAAGAACCTATATCCTGTCTAGCCAGCAGGATAAAACGAAAGCTGCTCATAGTTTTTTAAATAAATCTTTTTTTTAAAAGGTTGGGGGAGGGGAGAAATATGGCTCAAGTGATAGCATAGACATATCCAGAGGACTGGATCCACAATGATCTCGTCAAACTCTGGCTGCAAAAGATACGGGATCTTTGCCCGGGGGCGCAGTTCCACAAATGTTCCATGTAAGTATGGGAACTGTTCCATGCACATTTAGCAGATGGAGTAAGAAATATGGCCAAAAAATTAAAAACTGATCTTTGCGTGAGTCCTGGGGGGTCTGACATCGCTATTACAGCCATTGGATGTTTGCCTGAATAAGCCATTCAAGGGCTGAATAAGAACCATATGGTCTGAATGGATGTGCTCTGGGACAGTAGCATTAACCAAAGGAGGAAATTTGATGAGCCCAGACAGTGCACTGGTACTGTATGTCCATGGGTCATACTCCTACAAATCAGTCAGTATAACTTGTAGTAAAAGAGTTTTCATTAGACATGCCATCAGCAATAGCCCTTTGGACAGAACTCGGAGGGATGCCATATTTGTTGAAATAGTAAACAAAGATCTACACTATAAAAATTCTGATAGTAGTGTTGGCATTGTTACTAAACAGGATATTAAGGATAATCAAAACCCAGCTCTTATAAGCTCTGATGGTTACCACAAAGAACATTTCATATACTTGGTTTATTGCCAAAATATTAATTTAATGATTCTACAAGACCCAATTAGAGACACAGTCCAGAATTTAGTCTTACATATACATGACATTGATTCCTAGTATTTTTGCATGGTAAACACAAGACTAGATTAGAATAGAGTTATTAAATGTCCTTTTAAAGCACCAGCTATATAATTGGACATTTGCAGTCTTAGATCTTCATTCTCTTAGAGTAGAATTTGATATGTTTTGACTGGGTCCCAAACTATAAACACAGGAAGTGAAGAAAGAATAACTCTTCCAATTGCTCTAGAAATTTGAATTGTATAGGATGACAAGTTCTGATTTAGGATTTGGGCTGAAATAAACTTTAGTATTCCCACACCTGCACAGCGAAAGATAAGCCTTCTAATAGCACTGTGCTCCAACTCTCAGGTTTTCTGATTTGGGAAGAATGTTCTATATTGAATCACCAATATTATATCCTTTAAAAATCTTAGGATTTCCTTAGAATTATCTTATTCCAGATGCTGGCTAGACCCAGTGCTGGCTATGGTACAAGATCTACCATAATTACATCCTAAAATATATCTAGTTTAAAAAATTTATTTTAAAATACTGTGTGTATACTTATTCTGAAATTTTACTTTGTAGAATTCTGACAAATTTTCTAAGTTAGATTGTTTGATTTATAATATTAATAAAATTTGGTGGCTTAACAG